TAAATTGTTATTGGCTGTTTCATCCATGCTTCCAGTCGAGTTATTTAAATAATAATCACCCCATGTGTAATTATCAGGGGCGCCGCCAGGGATTTTGGGCCCCATGAAAATATATCACATTGGGCCCCACCACCAGGCACAGGCCACTTTGTTTATAAATTACCTCGAGGGCCGTACCAAATGGTCTAGCGGTCCGTATACGACCCGGGGACCGGAGGTTCCCCACCCCTGCTTTAATATAATAACATTAGTATTAATATCATAACCAAAATGTCGGTGATTAACATTTTGTTTACAGACTGATCACTCAATGCTTCAAACTGTCCATCATCCTAAAAAGCAGTTTTTTGTTTTATATAGATCATTGGCTGTGTGGGAAAATACTATGTTTGAAATGTATAATTTAAATTAGATGTTAGCTTTTTGTTATATATATATTTTGTATTCCAGTCTCCCTTCAGATATGTTAAGTGGCATGTCATTCAACACAATGCTGCTCACCTCCTTCAGTTGGGAGAAAAGCTGGTTCAGGTTCAGCATTATGGGGGGACAGGGCTGCTGAGCCTAAAGATGGATCTGTTGGTCCTGGCACCAGGGGGAGGGACAACTGATTTAGTATGAATAGGCACTAAAAATGTGCCTGCATTTATTAAAGACACACGAACGCGCACATGACCAATGAGGGCACGAGATAAGCTTGTGCACAGATGGAAGGCTGACAGGCAGGTAGGCCATCCAGTTATTTTAGCCGGGCTGGCTCAGATGATTGGTCGTGCTTTTTACAGTATTACGGCTTCCACAGATAACATTTTTGTATGTATTTGTTGTCAAAGCATTTAATATATTCATTGCTATCGGGATGTTAAGAGCATTCCATGGAATATAACAAAAAGTGTTTCTGAAGTGAATTACCTACCATACCTTTAAATATCAGCTAAAAGAGCAGTGAAATGAAAGACCTCTGAATTTTCTGTAAAGATATTAACAGTAATTAATGTCAGTTTAGTAAACAAAAAAACATTAGCTAACAGACTAATTTCCACCACTCATGGACCACACCCACCTTTTCTTGTGAAAAACTGGGTGACATACTGTCGCCCTTTAATCCCTCTCTCTTGTCTTTCTCTCCTTTCTCTTCTTTTCTTAGAGCCTGACTTTGTTGGTCGTTGAAACATGGTACAACACACGTATGTAGGCTAAGTACTAGCATCCCTCCTCACATGCTTTCACTCTGCAAGTGCCGGTGCCGCACCGCGTTTGGAGGCAGGACCAAACCATTACATGTAAATAGAAGAGGGTGTGAACAGAGGCTTTGGGTAATTAACTTATGGAAGAAAATAAGTTAAATGAATCGTACTGTAAGTTTAGTGAGTAATTTATCAATATAACGTTCTATTAATGTTAATTATTGAGGATTGATGACTTACATTTTTTTTCTTAATGTTCTAAACATTTTGGGGCCCCTGTCAGTCACGGGCCCTTAGAATCGTCCTAACTTTTCACCCCCTTATGGCGCCCCTGGTAATTATGCTGTTTAAGTATTAAGTAAAACTCTGGAATTCGTCCCACAGACATTATGTTTCAAGCTGTGAATTAGCACCAAAAAAGCATAATAAGGCCCCTTTAATAACTGTGGTGTTTGAGAGGAGTAGGCATACAGAAAGCATTAGGGCTCGAATGAAAGACACCATTTAGTTGCATCATGGGAAAAGATCGAGACATTTGGAGCTTTATCCGTATACTGGGGACTAAAAGTCACGATATCTTAACCTCTGCTGCTTCGATATGTGTCTCTTCTTGTCCTCCAACTTTGTGGAATGCACTAATAAATTGCTGGAGTATCCCTTTAATTAGATTTTGTTTGTATTAAAGTGAGACAGATACATTTTTCTATGTATATACTCCTGTCTGTATTTGTATAAATTAGGTTTAAAGGTGGGGTAGGTAAGTTTGAGAAACTGGCTCGAGATACACTTTTTGTTATATTCCATGGAATGCTCTTAACATCCCGATAGCAATGAATATCTGAAGTGATTTGACAAAAAATCCATTAAAAAATATCACCTGTGGAAGCCGTGGCGCTGTAAAAAGCACGACCAATCATCTGAGCCGGCCCGGCTAAAATCACTGGATGGCCTACCTGCCTGTCAGCCTTTACATGTGCGCGTTCGTGTGTGTTGGAGGAGGGGCTCTGTAAGGAAGTGGCAGATTTGTTCCGGTTGTGTATTTTCAAATTCTAGCGCACTCGAGCATGACTCGAGCTGGTTTCTCCAAAATAACCTACCCCATCTTTAAGTGTTTCCCTTTTATGAACGGCGCCACCCTGTGGGCATCAGAGACAATAACAACTCCAACACCTAGATGAGCAGCATAACTACACCTTTATTACTGTAAAAACACACACAATGAAATACATAAATATGTCAAATGTGATATTAAATAAAACCATGCAGATCTATTTAAATCAAAATATAATATATGATAATAATTTGCCCTAGGCCACACCGAATGAACAGAATTACAAGAAATATATTAGATTGTAAACCTTTAATGTTACCTTCTTTGTCTGCGGGACAATCAAAGTCTCTCCAGTTTCGATCCACATCGTTGTGTTCGAGAAAATGCTCAGCCTCTACCTTCAGTTCACAGATAATGATATAACCATGGCAACAGAGACACCTTGAAAAAGGCCAGGTGGAAAACTTAGACATTAAAGGTCACCTATTGTGCTACTGCTAAATCCACTTCTTCATGTCTCTTCTACATCAACATGTGTCCCCTCTGTGGAAAGAGACTGAACGTTTCAGGAACAAAGATTCTCTCTCTTTTTGATCCATTTCTATAAAAACCTGTCTGAAAATGAGCTGATCAGATTTTTGCCACTTTATGATGTCATAACGATGTTTTGGCTTGTGTAACCATTAGCCAATCACCAACCAAGGTAACCCCCCCCCCCCCCCCCCCCCCCCCCCCTTATCACCTGAGTCTCCTCCTAGAGCACCATTGAGTTCTTTGTAACCAAATGTCTCTCAGAGGGGCGTGGGGAGGGGCTCCTTATTTTCATCTAAAGTAACAGACTCAGAATCAGCACTTTTGAAACAGGGCTGAAACAGAGGGGATTATGGGTAATGCTGCAATGATCTGTTTGGTGTTTGAAGCCAAACACTTCAGAGACAGGTTTGTATATATCTGAGACCTATAATATATTGATGAAAAACAGTATAATAGGGGACCTTTAATGTCAGTCAGAAGAATATAAACTCTTCTGATTATCTCACCTTACCTGCTGAGAAGCACCTTGAAACTTCCATGTAGCGTTTAACTGTGAGTCCTATTACATTGTTGATGCTCACTTACCCTAACCTCACATTTTCCTAAACTAGCAAAACAATGCTAATCAGCAAAGCAGACAAACATATTCAAATTCATTCCTGTGATCATCCTGCGTGTCAGTAAACATAGTCATCAATCGGCCTAATGTTCTGTGAGGACTTATTGAGTGACGCGCCAATGCCCATGAAAACCTTCAAAACATCGGAGAAGTGCCAACGCTGAGCCTCGGCCTAACCTTGCCTTGAGCCATGTGTTGATGAGTCTTCGGTGTGACTGAAACTTCAAAGGCTCCTCACTTCACTAAGCAGAGGATGCTCCTTCCCTCTCATCTTCCCTCTGCTCAATCCTTCTCAAGAAGGACATTTTGATGGAAGGAAAAAAGAAAGCAGAAAGTTTTCTTGGCAATTTCTTGGAACAGATTCGACTGCTGTTGATGGGGGCAAATTAAACGCATGCGTTCAAGTCATTAGTGTGATTCAAAAATGGTTAAAACAACATGATCAGCCACTGAAGTTGAGTGACAGAAAGGTTTGGCTTGTTGGCGTATGATTTAAAGGGGCCCTAGCTCAATTCAGGTTCATATTTGTACTTTGTGCCTCGACTGTGACATGTCTCCATGCTTTAATGTTCAAAAAGCTCTTTATTTTTCTCATACTGCCTGTGCTGCAGCACCTCTTTTCACCCTCTGTCTGAAACCAGAGCCCATTCTGCTCTGATTGGTTAGCTGGCCGGCTCAACTGCTTAGAGATGTCCCGCCCCCTAGCCTATCACGTCCAATGTGTATGAGTGCTAGCCAATAGAGGTGTCAGTGTTACATATTAATATCACTATGTTCAGGAAGTAAACGAAGGAGTCCAATGGAGGCGTTTAGGAACTCCCTCTGCAGGGATGTTTAAGATTTGACCGTTAACATGCACTAAAACCTATATAACATTAGAGGAAAGGGAAAACCCCAGAAAGCATAATGGGGCCTCTTCAAGTTCTTTCTAATGATTCAATATTCATAAAACGAATTAATCGTATCACACTGTGTTTTTCATCAAGTAAAATCAGACTCACATCAAGGGTCTATAATTTAATTGTGTTTTGCATATTTGACAATGTGTAGCTACATCTCAGCATCATCACACACAACGAGTAGGCCTAATAGTGAGGGCGCTGCGAGTGTTGTTAGTGTGTTCGCACGACAAATGGAAGCAGGGAAAGGGTGGTGTGTTCAAAGACCGCCTGCACAAACCTGATGCATGCACAAATTAACACAGAGAGCACAGAGGTTACAAACCAAAGCTGTCAATGTTATAATTACAGCTCTTTCTTCCTCCTTGACGAACACAAAGAGGGATTTTTCTCACTCCATGCTCACATCCTCTTTCTCCCTCTCACTGCACAGCTTGGCCGGCTCACATTAATTGCTCCAGAAAGCTGTGGAAGCACAAGTGCTTCCCATCCTGCTATAATTGTGTCTGTAGGAGTTGGAAGGCTTGAGAAGAAAGAGGGCTTTGCTGCTTACGGAAAGGCTTTGTACTGTGTCTCTGGCGCTGAGGATGTTTGGATGAAGCCTGGTGTGGTGGCGCCCTCTAGTGGACTGACCGTGAAAGGTAAATAATTCCTTTTAGGGATTAAATAATTGGACACATATCAAAAGTCACACATAGAGAATCATGTCCTTCATGTTTAAGATAATGAAATCACTCATTGTCAATTTATTTTATTATACAATACATGACATACATAAACCCTTGGCACAAGTGTAAAACGCACAATGAAAATGTATTGTAATAACAGTATTATTTTGTAAATGCATGCTATCGTTATGTCTGCTTTTATAGGACGCAAGTCTGTCTATGTTAACATACATTATACCTGCTTTTAAAAGCAACTCAATGCTCATTTTTTAAGACCTATCAATGTTTCGTTTTTTTTAGTATTTTATATTTTTTTCTTGCCATTATTTCATTTCTGTTATTTTGCCTATTGTTGTGAAGCCCTTTGTGACATCTGCCCTCAAAGTAGCTATAGAATTAAACACACTTATTATATTTGTTATCTGTCCTGGTAACTTTTTATATTCTATCATCACAGTATACATTTTATTTTTAGATAATAATTGACAGATTTCTACATAATCTTATATGTCAAAACATGTCATAATATAATTCTAAGTAGTATGTATCCTGCCCTCTGCACTAGTTTAATTTCTCCTTTAAGCAATTTCTTAAATGAAATATTGGATAATTTAAAGTTATTCAAAAGAAACCATTTCCTAAAAAAGCCAATTGGTTTCATCTGGGACAATGTGTTAGTTTTATACAATTATTGTATGTTTAAGTGTAAAATCCTAACCTGGAAAGTAACTATTAAATATATATGGTGGAGTAGAGTAAAATATTCTATTACTTTCCACCACTTCCTGTATGTCTTTGTAATGTATGCAAGTATTTGTTGTTAGGCCTGCAGCTGTGTTGTAAACTACTTTAGACTGCCTCCCACATAGCCGGCATGATGTCATCTTCACGTCTATATACTGTACACTGTTATACTTTAAATGTCAAACCAAACCCTGACACACTCACTGTCTGTAATATGCAAAGCAGAAATAGAGCTGCTGCTACTGTATGGTTTATTTATATGCAGATAGAAAAGGGAGGCTTGCACTGTAGGAGGAGAGTTTATACTTTAATGTGCGTGAGTCAATGTATACATTTCTGAGGCAAATGAGTAAAAACACGAAAGCAAGATTTTGCGCTAAACATGGATAATTTTTATTTAGCTAGTGAGTTATCTAGAGGAGAAAACTGTCACATCCTTGCAGTTGCCGTTTTGGGGGAAGCCCCTCGGACCGAGCAGGGGGGGGGGGCGGTGTGGGGGATTCTCCCAAAAGTGCATGGAGTTGTTGAGGACAGCCTGAGCTTTTGTACCGAAAAGTACATCAACATCAGAGCAGCAGCTTTTCTCCTCAGACAAATGCACTTCAGAATGACAGAACCACAAGAGAGAAAAACCAAAGATGTGCACTGACCGGAGCTCGCCAGCCCGCTGCATAATGTAATCTTTTGGTACACAGAAACAGATGCAGAAAAAGAAGGGGAACAGGTAGAGGGAGGACACTTCCTATGATTGGCATGATTGTAGTTGTTTCCCAATTATCTCATCCCAACCTGTCAATCATCCAAACCTCTGTCTGAGGAGGGTCAGACGCCTGAATACAGATTCAAGTCAAATTCATGTCTTTAATTCTCCTCAGGAGCTGACGAGGCTCACCAATATCCCAAACATTTGAGGCATTAAAAGAAAATTACAAATAAGCCCGGTGAAATCTTCTGACTACTTCGGTTAGTCAGTTAGTTGCTCATAAACAAAATCAAAGAAGAAGAAGAACACAGAGTTAGAGAGTTAAGGGTATTGGTAGAGGCCGTTTAGGAGGACTGAAAGTGCTTTAGAGACAGTTTTCAAAGTGGGTTACGCTCTTTTCTCGTGAGACAGGAACACGGGGTTTGATGCACCAGTCAACGGATACGGATGAGTCCATCTATTGTCAAGTGTTCACATACATTGTCGTCTTCAGCGGAAAGAGTTGTGAGAGCCTTTCCTCCTTTCGTGGTTAGGCAAATTTTATGTAAGGTCCTACGTCATTAGTGTTGCAGTTCTAGCAGAGAGCTTGCTTGAGATTACTGTTTATTTCTATTGCGCTCCTGGCGAGAGAAAGAAAGCAGAAAGAGATGGTCAGTGGATGGCATCAGAACAACAGTAAACAATCATACGCAGATATTAGTGCAGGATAATACAAGTTCAGGGCCCAAATGTCCCTTTAATTCAGGTCAGAGATTAGGAGAGGTTTAGCATGTTAGCTACCTAGTACATGTTTGTGGGGTCTGATGTAGACCGTGTGTGAACATAATAATGACATTTGTATTGTGGCCCTATCAGAATTCACTTAGTTTGTTCTATACTGTCAGTTACAGATGCCTTTAATGTCCTCAAATAACTCCGGGGCATTGAACACATCTGACATCCAAGAGCCTATAAGAAGGCGATCGATATTTAATTTATTTGTTATAATAGATGTAATGCCTTTGTTGTGTCCATATGCACTCTTGCTAATCCCCAAATCTCAATTATTACTTCAATGCTTTAATTTTGAGTAAATGTGGTCTGGCACTTTTTTTAATCTATTACACCTTTAGATTAATGTTAGGTTGACGGCATCTGTCATTCATGCACTGATGTTGCAAGAATACAAATAGTTACTTACAGGCTCCTAATATAAAAACCACTCCTTATCTTACTTATTACTGATAGCAACACTAATCAATCACTGAAGTAAGGACACTTGTTCTGTTTAGTGTCCAACTGAGTGAGACAGTAGGGAAGTATGCGCTACAAGAAGGAAGGAATTTGGTAGGATTAAAGTATGTACTAAAAATGTTTGGATATGTTTACACTCAACGAAATATAAGTTATCACAGCCCGACTCGAATATCAAATATTCAAGGTAGTGTTATGGATTACAATTAAGTAGGAATACAGAGTCCTTTGAGGAGTGGGTGTCCATGTCAGTGGTCTGGGAAAATCCCCGTGAGACCACTGCACTGTAACTCTATCTCCATAATGGCCGCCCACCCTGGGGACAGCAGACTGGTATTCACCCTAACAGCATGAGCTTCTATTTCAGAGGAAGAAAAGCACTAACCTCTTAGCATTAATGACCAAATTAGATATGCTAATAAAATCCTGCAGCGACATTTGGATCCAAAGCCATCTTTAAGGATAACACTAAGGGGAGGGGTTGTTATGGTGCAGGTAGCTTGGTGGTTTGACACCTCTCAAAGTTGGGGAAGGACAGGCCAAACAACGGAGAACAATTAACCTTGTCAGACGAGGCGAGGGTGAGCCTCCGCCCGGCCTCCTATCCTGTCATGTAGGAGGTCAGGGCTACAAAAGCAGCACAGCGCAACGCCTGCACAGCGCAGGATGAAACAGGCGTTCTACTGACAGGTTGTTTTCAGAAGCCTGAAAACACTGACTTGAAATATTTATGAGAAAGTAACCCAGCGCATATTAACAAGGTCAGCAGAGAAGAGTCAATACAGCATCAATGGAGCACCAGCAGTGGGGGAGTGGGAGAAAAAGAAGGGAGGGGGTCGTGGGGGTTTTCTAAACGCAATCAGATTAGCATACTGGTGAATCTAGGAATGGCTGCTGCAGAATAGCTAGCATGTTGTTCTCTCCTCGGCTGCCGTTTCTCCACAGCCTCCCACGGAGCATTTACCACTTAGCCTAACATTTGTGGTGCACCACTGGGACATATTTCAGGTTCCCCACTGGGTGAGCCTTTCACAACTATTTGCACAGACAAATGTGATCATTTTTACCATGTTTTATGCTGTGAATCATTTCTTTTTAAGGTTGAACGTTTTGTACATCCGAGGCAAACTGTTCCAACTCTGAGGCACATGGCAGCCAGTTTGCAGGCCCAGGGCTTATGTTGTTAAAGACTAATAAAGCAAGAGGAGCCTGTGGAGAGCAGGGAGGCTCGGCGTTCAAAGAGAGATCAGAGCCTACATCTGCCTTTGTCTGAGAGAAGGAATGCCAGGAATGTGGGCTATTTCAGGAAACCTCTATGCATCTAACTCCACTTCACCGCAATCTCCACAGCACAAGATGGCTGATGGGGATTCAGGCTTTCCTGAATCTGCCGATGAGTAATGGTGGCATGTCAATTCACTAACAGGCCTCTAGGAACTTCCCTTAACACCAGACTGCTCGCTCAGCCACAGGATGTTACAGCCTCTGCCGAGGAGCAGGTGGAACGAGATCAGCTGATTACAGCCTGGAGCAGTGACTCAGGGAAAGTTTCCTCCATTTAAAAGAAAGGCTAACGGTACTGAACTCTCACATGCATACCAGCAAGCTATTTACAGATCTATTCATGTTTATGTATCTCTCACCTTCCTCAAAGCCTCCTCCTCTTCCTGACGTTTCTCGTAATGTGCAAAGTCATCAAAGATTGAGGTGGTATGCTTGAAAGTGGCGATAATTTTAAGCACTTGTTTGGCCTTCTCCAGAGGCACTTCCTGAGTGTCCCTGGAGTTGGTCACCGGCTTGTTGTCATTGTTCTCCAGCCGGATGTGTCGCAGCTGGTTGTTGGGCACGTCTTTGATGAACGCCCACTTCACCTCGAACTTGCCCTTCCACTTGTCCTGAGACCAGACGCCCGCGTAGGCATTGTAGTCCACCGGGGAGCGCATCTCGGCCACGCCGCAGAAGTGCCCGCTGCCGTTGACGCTGAACAACAGGTACAGGGGGCCCTTGTTGCCCAGCGAGCGGTAGGCACCGTCCAGACGCTTGTTGCCATGTTCTGTGCTGCACCAGATGGAGTACTTGATGGAGCGGTGGATGTCGTCTTCAGAATAGCTCTTGATAATGAAAACGCGCCCGTTTTTCAAGCTCCAGTCAAAGTCTTTGGGGTTGTAGTTGTTGAGGGCGCGCAGCTTCTCCAGCACGGGGTGCACCTCACCGGAGCAGGGGGAGGCATTCAGGGGGACTCCCCCAACCATACCGAAGCCCTCACCACGGTTCCTGGGAGCCACCCAGCGGTTGGGGGGTGGACCGGGCTGCTGGGGCTGCTGCTGATGGAGGGGCTGTGGGGGGCCAGGTTGAGAGGAGAGGTGCATGTGAGGGGGGCCAGGGGGCATATGCTGGGGGTGCTGGGGGGACTGGAGAGAGTGGAGCTGGAAGGGCTGGTGTTGATGTTGGTGTTGGGGCTGGTGTTGATGTTGGTGTTGGGGCTGGTGTTGATGATGTTGTTGTTGTTGTTGATGATGTTGTTGTTGTTGGTGATGTTGATGTTGTTGGTGATGTTGATGTTGTTGGTGATGTTGTTGATGTTGGTGATGGTGTTGGGGCTGAGGGGGCAACGGGTTCTGCAGCAAGGGCTGGGGCTGAGCTAGGAGAGGCTGCTGCATCATGGGCTGCGGGGGCATCATATTCTGAGCTAAGGGGGGCTTGTTCATTGAGCCCTTATCGTCCCAAGTACCAATGTTCATATTGTGCTTTATGGGGGGCGGGGGAATGGCGCCTCCTCCCATCCCCATGTTGGCTTTGGGTTTGACCTTCGGCTGCGGCTTGGCCGGCTTCTTGGCGATGGCCGCCCAGGAGGCAGGTTTCGGGGCGGAGGAGCTCACAGGCGGAGGGAGGCTATTGGCTGCCATGCTGCTCATACCTGCTGTGCCCAGTGGGGAGCCCACGGTTTTGGTGACAGCTGCCACCATGTCCGTACCCAGTTTCAAGCCTGTCATACCTTGCTCAATGCTGTTGAGCATCGGGACTTTACTCAGCTGGGTGTCGCTTCCAAAGCCCGCCTGTCCGTCCGTGATGGCCCGACCCAGAGAGCTGGGGGCGTAACCGTAGCTGTTACTGTAGACCGAGCTCTGGGTGGACTGGCCCTGAGAGACACTGGTTCCCCAGGTGGAAAAGTCTGCATTACCAGGGAAGAAGTTGAAGCCATGCTGGCCCAGGAAGGGGGGGGTGTTCCCCAGGGCACCGGGCTGGCTAAACACACCGTCAGGGAGGAAGTGAGGCTCGCCATTGCTCATCTGTCCATAGGTGGTCAGGTAGGGCATAGGGGGGTCTCCTGCTGTGGACCAGGCGGCCTCTCCCAGAGAGTAAGGGAAACCAATGGATGGAGCATAGTAGCTGGGCATGTAGGGGTCAGACATTGGTTGGTAGCTGTTATTCTGTGAGGGATAGGGAGACAGGCAGGTAATGTACTAAACATGATGAGAGAAAAACAATAAAATCATCTAGTAATTAAACATGATGACATGCTTTGCACAGTAAATATGGATTGTGAGTTAAGGTATAGAAAAATGTTTCATCTTTAGAGACACACAAGAAAATCTAAAAGGGAATGGAGTTATTTTTAATGTGTGTGATGGCTGAAATGTGCAGCTAATTAGTCCATAATATATTCTAGGTATAGTATAAAGTGACATAAAATATAGGTTATATTCTGGCCACCTACTAGTGACAGATGTATGGTATGTATAGATCATATAAAGGTTTATTTTAGGACATTACCTGATTTGTCTGGCCGCCTAGATAAGGCTCAAAGTCATCATCGTTGACTCCATCCTTTTGATGCATTGATCCGTTTTGCACTAAGGATGGAAAAAGAGGATGGTAATTCATCAAATGTGTGCTGCATGTGAGTCAGAGATATTTCAAGATGTCAATTAATTATGCTGGTATAATCCAAAATAAAACAAGATCTCAGTGTTGTGTAACATCAAAATAAATGCAGAAATAGGGATCACTGCTAACATCAGCTGCAGTTTAGGCTACATTTCCAAAGCAGAATCACTCAGTATGCAGATAGCATGTTAGCTCATTTCCATGAAAACAGTCGCCCTATGAAGTAGAATTTATAAATGAGGGCTCGTGCACCATTTTACCATCCGTGTTAAAAGCCTTACCTTTATTTCCTTGTCCTTTGGGTCTCTGAAATAATGGGCAGCACAGGAAAAAGAGATCAGATCACGACAGGAAACAAGAAGCACACACAGATAACAGGCTGTTTCCTACATGCATAAATACATTGGATTGTCTTCTCTTCGGGCTAAAACCCATCAGCTGCACATTTACAGGTTGCTTCGCGTTTATTGACCGGATATCAAACGCTGTGTGACATCCAGGAACTAAACGGTGCCGCATTGGCAACCGGTTACAGCTAGAGTTGGTTGGCAATACAGTCGGCCTACATTACAGCTAATAGCCACCACATATCAAAGACTTTGCAGCCTGTTTGATCCGGCGTGCCAAATCAGATCAAACTGTGCGCAAAGTTTCATTCCCCCGCACGGTTATTTTGTAGCCGCTTTAGGGTGTCAATACACTAACCTGATCGACTGTGGTTGCAGACATCCTCCAGGAACCGAAACTGATAGCTGTGTGTGAGACTGTCCACGGCTTCTTCCCCCCTGCCTCTCTCTGCACTTCGGTGCTTTCCTGGCTCGTCTCTCCGGCTGTCCAATCACTCTCTCGCGGCTACAATGTTCCGTTTTCCTCCGGCGCGTCTGCTTCTTACAATCGGCGACTCTGCTGGGTCTGTGTGGGGTAAAGCGTCAGGTTATAAGGTGCGATCCTGCCACAGATCGGGGTTTAGCAGTCAATCTGAAACTGCCTAGTGTCTTACCATTTTCCACAATGGCGGATAGGCTTTTTACTCCCGCTTCCGTTCCGTTCTGCTGCTCCGTGACCTTCCGCCTGTGACGCTCTGAGTCATGTTACACACTTACACTTCACATGACAGTCACAGACAACAAGTTCCCTGCTGCAACTAGGCCTACATTATATTTTATATTTTGTATTATCCTATAAAAATAGTCACCCCTGTAGTGGGGATCCTCTCTTAACTCAGCCACTAGGCTACATGCCACTAATGCATGGACTCCTGAATCCCCATGTGAATAAAGCTAAATAAATAGGCTGCAAAATATGATGCATGAAAAAATGTACTACATTTTTTTATTTTCTGCTGCTGTTTACTTATATTCCCCTTAATTTTAAAGGAAAAATATTGAAGATGTTTTTATTTTATTATCAAAACCTATTATTATTTTTTACAACAAGATGTTTAAATTACCCCGAGACAAAATAGCCCCACTTCCACGAACTAAAACTGCAACAAATATTACCCTTATACATGAATGCATCATAATTACTTATCTAATAATATCACATAGGCCTCAATACAAACTCACAGGAGCCATTTTGAATGCAAGACTTCTACAACATATTTCTACAGTGCAGTATTTCTACTGTTGAATAAGTGAAGGATGTGAACAAATACTTCACTGTCTCTCAAATTGCAAATATAAAACAGGCTATTAAAGAATAACTAAGTAAAATAAATATATTGAACTCTAAATTATATAATTCTAAAATATCAAACCTATAAAAATAACATTGACGGGGACCTTTTATTATGAAATAAGTACTTTTTCTTTTGATACTATTTTTGTAATTACTGTACTCTGTTGTAATGCACTACAACTTGTGCTACGCGAGTAAACGAGAGTCACTAGCTCTAGTCTCGCGATATTTCCCCAGTGGGTCGCGGAGCAGTATGGCAGCCGTCGCGCTGAGGTCCTGCCGCAGAGGACTTTCACAGATTTTAAGTAATGGAGGCCCTGCTGCTTTGTCTTCACAGCGTCTCGAAGGTCTGTTCAAGTCTCCACTTTAGGCACAATTAATTTCACAACGTTTAAATTATATATAAGGGCATTTAAACGCAGACGAGGGGGTGTGGCTCACACAGACTGCGTCGTCTTAAAAATATAGGACATGTAAACTGTGTTGATTTAGCGCTTGCGATTGTTTTTGAAACATGTCTTTTGATGTAAGTTGTATTTGTAACCTATTTTTACATTAATTGGTGAATTGGTTGAATATCTACCCGCATTCTTGGTGTCCTTGGTGGTCGATATGAAAAGAATGACCACGCTGTTTTTTTATTATCCATGTGCGGTTTCTAGTTAGCGTCAAAAGAAGCCTTATCTTGTAAAATGGGATGGGCAGAAGTACTCAGGTTTTACTTTAGTAAAAGTACCAGAGTGTAGGAATACTCTTTTACAAGTAAAAGTCCAGCATACGAAAAAAGGCCCACTTCAGACTAACATATATGATGTGTTTTATAATTATTGATCATTAAAGTGTTATCAAAGCTGGTAATGGTGCAGCTAGTTTTAATGACTTTGTATGTATGTATCTGATTTAAGAGTTGATTATATTTCATATCATTAATCCAAATCTGTAAAGTAACTTAAGGTATTAAATACATGTAGTGGAGTAAAAGTACACCATTTAACTCTGAACTGTAGTGGAGTAGAAGTAGACATTTGCATAACATTGAAATACTCAAGTAAAGTACAAGTATCTCAATATTGTACTTCAGTACAGTACTTTATTAAATGTACTTGGTTACTTTACACCACTGTGGGTGTGACAATGTGTTCAGCAAAGTTGTATTTCTAATTTAGCTACTTGGCTAATGTGCAACATTTACATAACATGTTTTTCTATAGCAATAATCCTCTGCTCTGTGCCCACCAGGAGCCCGGAGACACAAGTCCACAGTCCAGTATGCCTCCCGACCAGACCTTCCCAAGCTAGCCTACAGGAGGGTGAAGGGGAAGAGCCCCGGGGTGCTCTTCCTCCCGGGATATGCATCCAACATGAATGGGCAGAAAGCCGAGGCACTGGAAGAGTTCTGTAGGTCACTAGGCCACTCATACCTTAGGTAAGTCCTCAAAAACACCACGGAAGAGGGAGCATACAGTAAAGTAGCACATTGATCAGTTCAAACAGACATACCGTATACATACAGTGTTGGTTGTGGATTTCCTCTGGATATCGTATGTGTAAAAACCTACAAAACAATCCAACTTTTCTTCTCAGCAATCATACTTGATTCATGTAGTATTTTGTGTAGTTTATTATTTTACTCATTATAGATGTATACAGAGCTAAGCTATAACATACATGAAGTGGAGAAGATGCATACATTCACCACACACCCGAGGTGTATTAATAGGAACAAAATGTACTTTTCTGTGAGAAAATAGATACCATACATTTAGTGGCGTTATGAGACAAAGAAACAGCAGAAAAGTTGACAAAGTAAATAATAATTACAAGGAGCATGATGCCCCAACACAAGAGTATATATCAAATAATTTTCTGTGTATTTGGTTATGAAGAGAGGGGTTTGCCAAATGCCTTTTATATGTAACAGAGTTATAACAAGCAGTGATGTGTTTCATCTAGTTCCTATAGGAGTGCATTCAAATGATGAAACAACTGGAAATGTGTATCGGCTCCAAAACTCACAATAAATCGTGTAAATCAAACTTATGTTTAGTTTTCTCAATTTTAAATGACTCCTTCACTTGTTTAACATATTTTAAAATACTATTACACACCTCTCCTTATCTTCCAGAGCCTCTATTCCTGAGGTGATTAGATATACGACATGTCTTCATCACACTGACTACTTGACAGCCTCATCCTATGTTTACTGCAGTATATAGCTGATTTACTGCACTCATAATGTCTAAAAGAAAAGTAACCTTTCCCTGATCTGTCACGGCTTGCTTATGTTTTAGCCTCTGATACCCGTGTCCATGCTCTATTTATGTTTCCCAGGTTTGACTACACAGGACATGGGGCCTCGGAGGGGGTGCTATCAGAAGGAACCATCGGTACCTGGAAAAAAGACGTCCTCTACGTGTTGGATGAGTTAGTAGAGGGGCCACAGGTAAATGTTTCCTCTGGTCATGGCCGCTCACACACACTGGGGTTTGCAGCCTAATACAGGAAGTTATATAAGAGTCTGTTCCCATTTAGAACAGGTTTAATGTCCGGATACAGGCTCCCGGTAATAAGCACTGTTCTAGCTAAAAATGTATATAATTTACCAAGATTGGGCAAAATATAGGACTTGGAAAACATTGATTTTACTCAGTAAGGGTTGTTCAATATTCATGCTTTAAATGGGACATATTATGCTAATATCTAGGTATCAGTGAAGCTCTATATACAGCTCTAAATACAGTCTGGAGACCAATACAAAATGATCAGATTCTCTGGTTCTATTATTGTTTGAGTAAAATTAACATTTTTATATTTTATTTGAAAAACTACTGACAACATGTCTCTGTGTTGGAATTCAACAGACACGGGAATGTAATGGCTGCCATACATGTAGAGATTGAGATTTAAGAACAATTTGGAGCGGTCTCTTCATTTTTTTCACAGCTGTACGTCTAAGGCTTTTATTGTGAAAGAACCAGTCCTGGTGGTAGAAAGAATAGTTAACGTGAGGCCAATAAGGAACCAATTGAAACCAGAGGGTCATTATTGTACAGCCATGACATTGTGCAATCAACATATACTTCATAATCTAAATTCAAAATATTATCTTTAGCCACTTTATGTTGAGCACAGAGAAACTTCAGACACATTTGCAAACCAAACATTAGTACCAAACTCTGCACATGTACTATGCTGCACATTAAGGTTCAACCATCTAACTGAAGTAGCAATAAGAAAAAACTAATTTGAGTATATGCGAAATGTAGTATTTTGTAATTGAATTTCCTATATTACAAATCTCCTCCTGCACTTAACAAATGACGAAAATGAGTTTTGTTACAGAACCAATTAACCAGACAGACAGCAAAATCAATAATAGTATTGGCACTATTACAAATGATTACATCCTCTTTCTCTAGTATACACTGTATGTTCCACTATGCCTCCAGAAGATGGCGCTGTGTAGCAACAATTGTTGTATCATTAGTCTTCCACTGCCGAGATTACCCTGCACAAATCTACTGATGGAGTGTTATCAATTAATTGACTATTTTTGCTTTCTTGTAGATAATGGTGGGCTCCAGTTTAGGGGGTTGGTTGATGCTGCTGGCAGCCATTGCAAGACCGGAGAAGACTGCCGCTCTGGTGGGCATCTCCACTGCCGCCGACCACATCGTCACTGTGTACAACTCTCTTTCTCTGGAGGTAGCGTCAGATAACAACATCACATATATCATGTTCTGTTTGAAAATCTCAATGTTTTCCTGAGTTGGATTTTGTTTGACTGCGCAGGCACGCAAGGTGTTTGAGGAGAAGGGGGCGTGGACTCTGCCCACCAAGCACCCGGAGGAGGGTTTGTACGACTTTAACATGGACTTTCTGAAAGAGGCAGAAAATCACTGTGTTCTCCAGAGTCCCATCCCCATCACCTGTCCTGTGCGGCTCATCCACGGGCTGAAGGACGAGGACGTACCCTGGCACATCTCCATGCAGGTGGCCGAACGCATCCTCAGCGCCGATGTCGATGTCATCCTGCGGCGACAAGGCCAGCACCGCATGTCCGAGAGGGACGACATCAAGCTCATGGTCTACACCATCGATGACCTCATAGACAAGCTGACCACCATGGTCTGAGGAAGGGTGGGGGGGGGGTGAGCTTGAGAGGTTGCTCAGATGAGGAAAGAAGGACTGAATACTAATCAACCCTCGAGTAATTTACCAAAAAATGGCATGTTTTTCCCGCCAAATATGACCTTTTATCCCTCTTCCCGTACTTCATGTGTCATTTCAACATGCCGTTATTATCAGCAGCCTCCCTGTAAGCGGTTCCCTTATATCTTCAGGTTGCATATGTATGTGTTCCAGGTTATTATATGGAGTGTTGTGTTGGCCTTGGTTAGAGGCATCAGTTGCTGCGGCCCGATGCGCCGATCTTACTGTTTGACTGTTTCCCCCCCCCCTCTTGACTTAGATTCATAGTTGTCCTGTGCCTTTTTTATTCACTTTCCACCCGATGGCCAATAAAACCACTGCACACAAGCAGGTCTCAGTCTGTTACCACAACCAACACATCATAATCAGCTGGCAAACAACTGCTGTTGATATTGAAATGCAATGATATTATATTATAGTAACGTTTTTTTCACTGAGATGTGGATTCCAGAAACCTTTAAGTAATGTACTCTAAAAAGTGTCAAACTCAGACCTCAAAACATCATGATTAATAAACATATAAAGAATAAGCACATGTCTTTTATATACGGAGTAAACACTGCACAAAAATACAATTTGCCAAGTTTATTAGCACATAAATCCCGGTACTATATAGCGAGTCAAAATCATCAAGGGTTGTTTTCTGCAGCAGAACAGTGTTACATGACTCCCTGTACCTGCTGGCCTTTAGCCACGGAGAGCTGAATGGAGCCACTGGACTGTTGATTATTAACATGTAATTGGCAACTAGCGGCACTGCTCAATGGGGCGCAACCAACCACTTAACTCCCGGGCCACTTCACTGCAGCGCTGACCTTTAACCCGTGGGTGAGCTGTGTCAACGTTAAAATCAAACGTCAATTTATGAGAGCATAAAGCACGGCAGTTATAACGCAAGAGAAGCTTCTAGAGCGATGTTTGACTAAGGGCTCATTTTGCTTTGAGTTTTACAGAACGCATGTTTTTGCACCATAGATATAACCAGGAAGTGCTTTGTAAGTAGGGTTTTTGTTGTGTAGTTAACTAAGATAATACATACTTACATATATTACCCCCAAACACTTATCAAGCACAAACAAACTTAAGTAAGTAGAAGGAACTAGCTCTCATTACACAACTAAGAGACAGATGCTGTAACAACCTTAGTGTTTGCTGTAGCCAAACAAACAATAAGTCAGGAGGAAGACTAACCGGTTAAAGCAGCTATTCTAACAACACTTTGTTAACCAGTTATCAGAGGTGGAAGACGTATCTTGTACTTAAGTTCAAGTAGAATACCACAGTCTAGGAATGCTCTGTTTCAAGTAAAAGTCCTGTATGGCAAATGTTACTTAAGTAAAAGTACAGAAGTATTAGCATCACAATATAGTTAAAGTACCAAAAGTAAAAGTAGTCATTGTGCAGATTCAGAATAATATATATATGTTTTATAATGATTGATCATTAAAGTGTTCTCACAGCTGGTAAAGGTGCAGCTAGTTTGAATGACTTTGTGTACTGCAGGGTAGCTTGTGAACTCCAGGTGGAACTATATAGGTGTTGATAATATTTCATATCATTAATCCAAATCTGCAAAGTAGGTATTAAGTCAAGTCAAAGTCAGCTTTATTGTCAATAATTCTACATGTGTTATACATATACAGAACATTTGAAATACCGTTTCTCGCAGTCCCACAGTGACATATAAAACAGATACAAAAAGGGCCTAGATAAAAGGGGTATACAACTAAGTAATAGTAGTAAAAAGTACTAGGTAATAATATATTTTTTAAAAAAACACAATCAACAGAACATGAATAAATGTAGTAGAGTAAAAGTACACCATTAACCTCTGAATTGTTGTAGGGTAGTACAAAGTAGCAACAACTTAAAATACTCAAGTAAATGACTAGTAAACATAGTGACTTTACACGTCTCCCAGTTATGATGAAGGATTTGTAAATGGTACAGTGGGTTGATGCTTGACCAATTTGCACTTAATGCTTACTATACAGTAAGTGAGTGACCAGTGGCCGGAAGCGGTGTCACGTCGCATTGTGTGTTGGGAGTCTCCAGGGACCCCTCCGAGTGACCGCCCCCCCCCCCCCCCCCCCCCCCCCCCCCCCCCACCCCCGGACAGGATCCCGGCTCTGCTGCATGGATGCTCAGGCTCAGCATCCTCAGTCTGCACAGCTCAGCGGATCTGACACACTGACCGGACACCCTCTCCAGTAAGTGCAGCCTCTATTCAATGAACCAGCTTTCATTGCATGACATTGTGGGTGTATTTGTTTAATCAGCTGATTCAGTGTCGCAGTTAGTATGTGAGCTTTACGCAGTTACCTTTAACATGTGTTTATAATGCGCACCAACGTGATGTCGGGATTTCCTTTGAGTTTACTGAATGTAACTCGCGTCCAACAACAGATGCATCGAAGACATTAGTCAAAGTCAAAAGTGAAACCTTTAAATGCGGCAAACAGGAGCTGACGTAATTTAATTAAACTGTATTGCAGGCCAAATATAGATCTGTTATACGCATGTATGAATGCGTGTTTTGGAAGAGGGCAAACTTTCTGAAAATACATTTAGGATATGTCATTCTCATCGTGTGTCTGCATGGAGGTCATACTTCACCTCATGCAGAGCATGCACACAGCGTGCCGGAAACTGACTTGATTGTTACCATAGCAATGAGAGGGCATGTCCCTGTCTGGGACAGCAGCCATGGACCACACCCTTCCTCCAGAGATGCGTATGGTGGGCTGGGGAGGAGAGACTATAAAACCTGGATAATGTTACACTAAGATGGTTAAATGCTCTGATGCTTTAGATGCTATAGTGCAACTTAATAAACAAAGTGGATAACTAATATACAGGAGGTATATAAAAGACGCTAGCCTATAATGATGCTTTTTGATGAGAACAGTTCTCCAGTCTTGCTATTTGCCTATTATATGTACTTCAGGGTGAGGACTGCCAAGCTGTAGAGAGAGAGACTATACAACCTAAATACATTTAAAAAACATAGTTTAGTATAATGCTCTAATGCTAGATTTTCATTGTAGTAAAGAAATAACTATTTCAATAAGAATTGTAGTTATTTTACAATTTAATACACAACAAAGTATTGATTTACATACTACAACTTATATTTTAAAAGAACAGTAGCCTGTAATTATTGTAGAAATACTTTTGCTATTTCCCCCTTATATGTAGGCCTACCTTTTTTACAAACATTAAGAAGGTTAATGATAATGCCCTAATGCTTTAGATTTTTATTTTAGTAAACAAATACATTTTTTAACTAAGAATTCGAGTTATCACACAATTTCATTCATAACAGGTATACAAAGTAGTCACTAATACCCCCTATTAGACTCCAAAATGCTTACTATAGGATCAGTATAATGATGTTTTTGTCAGAATTGTTGCAGTTGAGTTGCTATGAGCTTTCGATGTATTTATTTTAGTAAAGAGACAACATGTCAACTCTCTGAAAACAAATGGATTCAAAGCAGACACCAAAAACTCACCAATATACTACAAAAGTTCATTATAGGAACCATGAAGTTTTTTTATATTTCACCTTTCACCTTTATGTGTACCATTCTCCTCAGGGCCACTTTACACTACACACTAGAGAGCTGCCATGGCGAACAGAGGGCCGAGCTACGGCCTGAGCCGAGAGGTGCAGGCGAAGATCGAGCAGAAGTACGACGTGGATCTGGAGCAGCGGCTGGTGGACTGGATCGTGGCTCAGTGCGGAGGAAACATGGAGAGGCCGCAGCCCGGCAGGGAGAACTTCCAGAAGTGGCTGATGGATGGAACAGTGAGTGGCTGCAGTACCGCCGCTTAAAATAGTTTGCCATTTAATTATTTAAGATACAGTATAATAGTGGTCTGTCAGATTTGTAAAGCCTATGGAGTCAAACAAGGCTAGCAACCGGCTTTATGCTTCCAGTTCTTTATGGACTTAATAATATTCATCTGCATTTATTGATATGTTATATTTGGTACCTGGAAGAATAGGCCATTAAGGTAAAAACAATGATTTTAAATGTTTGAATTGTTTTGGTGCTTGCTTTGCAAATGTAGGGTTTTGTACATTGAGTCATTCTGTGAAAAACTCCCCAGACTCCCTACTTAGAAACTTAATCAACAACCAATTATAAAATGCACCCTCCACGATGCTGCAGTGTCTTCTCACTTTATACTCCAGCTGACTAATGTTCAGAGGAGAAAGGCAGAGACATCAATTTCTGCACCAGCAAGTTACTCAACAGACAATTACGCAACGCAGCCACTAAACATGAAAATGACTCCCAATTTGAAATGTTTTCATAACTAAATGCACGTTCTGCGTCTCTTGAGGCAATGACAACAGCCAAATCCTAACAAAAATATGATTTATGGCGTTTAAACATGCCAAATAGGACCATGTGAGTAACTAAAACCCTTCATTAAGTGACTTTAATTCAATTTTATTTTCCAGATCCTCTGTAGGCTTATCAACAGCCTGTATCCGAGGGGAAAGGAGCCTATCAAGAAGATCCTAGAGACACAGATGGCCTTCAAACAAATGGAGAAGATCTCTCAGTTCCTGCAGGCGGCTGAAGCGTATGGAGTCTCGACCACTGACATATTTCAGACGGTGGACCTCTGGGAAGGTGATTTGAACTCTGATTACTTACATTCCATCTCACGCTGGCGTCATATATATTTTTTCCCGATGATAATCAGTTTGCAATACACGTCATGACAGAAGGATCATTTTGTTCTGGCTGTAGGAAAGGACATGGCAGCCGTGCAAAGAACTCTCATGGCTCTTGGTAGCGTGGCTCTCACTAAGGACGACGGGCATTACAGAGGTGACCGAGACTGGTTCAACAGGTAAAGAGAAACAGGGGGAATTCAAAATGTTTCCCTTGCATGCTTGTGATGCTTCATTCGCCTCATTCTGTATTTGTTACTGTTGTATAGGAAAGCCCAGGGGTATCGTCGGGAGTTCAGCCAGGAGCAGCTCCGCCAGGGTCAGGGTTTGATCGGCCTGCAGATGGGCAGTAACCGCGGGGCTTCCCAGGCCGGGATGACGGGCTACGGCCAGCACCGTCAGATCATGTAGACCCCTTACTAACCCCTGCTTCCAGACCTTGTTTTTCTACCACAAACGCTGTAGCCCCGAAACCTCCATTTCTTCTGTAGCACCTGCCATGTCAACCTCAATCTCCCTGGAATTGCTGCTTTCCCAAACCTAGTGTTTTATCTTGAAACAAATGATGTCAAATGCTGTAGATCTTAAAAGTCCCCTCGCTTGTGCCACATGCTCTTCCTCCTCGTTGTCTAATGTCCAAACCTAACGAGAAACCTTAAAGTCATCAATTTAGTCTCATTCCTTAATTTAGTATTAGAATCTCTATACAAACCATCAGTGTTATACATCTGAAAGCCACTGTTAAGGCATGCTGTATGCTATTTATTTCCATTTGTGTATTCATTTATCATTGTTTTAAAATGATCTTTTACTGTGTAATTGTTTAGCCTTAAACCTAATGGAACTCAATGAATGACGACGTCTCTGCTATCTTGTCTTGAAGACTTGTTGCAGTATCCTCTGTAACCAAATCGACCTCACGTTGTGCCTGGTTATGGGACTACAGAGACTGAGTCCTGGTACTTAGAAATGAGTTCCCTTCATTCTGAGCCACGCCCATGTTATTTGTTCTTTCGATCACATCTTTAAGTCAATGTGCAGCCGCCAACACGTGTGAAAGACCCCATTTCTGGTGCCAGGTAAAGACATTGCTTGAATGTGCACTTTTATGTGTTGTCATGTTTATATTTTTAAATATATTTATACCTGGAGGCTTGTGAGAAGGATTATTGAAGAAATAAATAAAGGATGTGAACATATATGTGTGTCAGTCTGTGAAACACACAAGCTGGGTATGTTGATAACTGGGAAGTCGGGGGTGTTTTCTGCATTCTCAGTGGTTTTTTCTCTTATCTTGGTTTAATACAGCTCCTCCCTTGTGTCCCTCCGTGCTGTCTCTCTCCACCGTACACAATCTAATAAAGGGGCAGCAGCACGACATGATGATTAGGTTGAGGATGCTTCTACCAGATAGTCCAGAAATGGTATGCACTGTGAGTGACCCTAAGTAAGTTATTAAAGCCCCAATAATGCTGCTAGATAGTTGATATGCATTTATGGAGGGTGTAGCAAAGAAAGCCATCAGAACAGCCATGAAGTAACTCTTCAACCCTATACTGTAATGTTCTTTGGTTGTAGTTTTCAATGTATTTCTTATTGCTTTCACCATCTTACGAAAAGTCTTTGACCTTATGTCGGCTCTATGGTTACCATTAATCTAGATAACATCTAAATGGCACTGTCATTAAGATAAACCTTTGTCCAAGGCATTAGCGACATTAGGCTCTGAACCACAAAAGGTCATGTTTGTATGCCAGTCATCCAGTTTATGTGGACAATTGTTTCTGACTGTTGACATTTGAGAAAGCACATATGAGACGAAGCAAGCATGAATGAACATTTTAGCATCTAGTGACTTATCACAATGCTGCTCTTTAAATCTTGGATAAAAATGTCTGCTAATATAGTGGCGTCCATTCGTAATGTCTTGTTATTGCTCAATTCAAAGCCAGAGATGTCATCCTCTGTGCTTAATATCTGCTCACTGTACAGAATGCTGCCCGTGTAAAAGTATGTGGCCTTCTGCATGTGTGGCCCTGACATACACTGTGTGCTTATTATTAGCCTCAACTACACTAGAGAAGCATCTGAAAGGGATATGTTACTGACAGACACAATAAGTAAGCCACAAACGCAGCCTGACCAATGAGATGGCACTGGGGACAGAGGTCACTGTTGTCCAAAGTTCCTGTCCAGCTTTTGTTTTCTTTAGTTGGTGTCTTCGCTGTCTGTTGTTCCGCTGTTTTCCTCCTGAGTGTGAAGATATGTGGACATAGGGCTAACTATGAACTGGCTTTAACTCCTGTCCAAAGACTTTGCATAGTTGGATATTAGCTTTTTTTTAAGACAGGTGCATTAGGTACAATGTTGCAGCTGGGATTTAGAGTCACTCTGTTGCTTCTTCTACTGGCGGCCAGGTGTGTTACACAGGAAGAAACTCAAAATAAAGGCTGTGTTTGTGGGCACCCTGGGATACCTGGGGACCCCGGACACAATGGCACACCTGGCAGAGATGGCCGAGATGGACTCAGAAGTGACAAAGGTGATCCAGGTAAGTTTACAAGAGAAGAATCCTGCTTTACAACTTCACTATATGCACATTTTAAAATGTCTTAAGCTTCATCTTTACAATCTATAACAATAAATATGTATGAATCACCCACTAAAAGGACAAGTTGGCCGTATGGGAGCAGCAGGTACTGATGGACACAAGGGAGACAAAGGGGAACTTGGTATGTATTTTCATAAAACTACACTGGAAACTTTGTAAAGTGTCCCGTTTTGAAATAATTGAAATGTACCCGCTGTATATTTCACCTACTTTAACACAATTTATTCTTATATAGGTTTCTCTTATCTGGCTTTACTCAACAGTGAACAGTGAGCATAAAAGGACATTGTGTGCTTGTCATTTACAGGTGCAGTTGGCCCATCAGGGGTCAAAGGAAAAAGGGGGGACAATGGAGAACGGGGGCCTCCTGGGAAAATGGGGCCTCAAGGAGTCCAAGGGCCCGTTGGCCTGAAAGGAAATAAGGGAGAGCTCGGGCTGCCCGGACCTCAAGGGCCTAAAGGCGATGTTGGGCCTATTGGACCAGAGGGTCCCAAGGGGGAAATCGGCCTTCGAGGTGACAGGGGCATTCTGGGACCATTGGGCCCCCCCGGCAAGTCAGGGCCTAAGGGGGACCTCGGTGTCCCAGGTCATAAAGGGAGTATAGGATATAGAGGTGACAGAGGGCTTCGAGGCGAGAAAGGGGAACTGGGTGAGAAGGGCGACACAGTTGTTATCCCTAAAAGCGCTTTCTCCGTGGGACTCACAGCGACGAGTAAACTGCCATCAGTTAATGCTCCCATTCGGTTTGACAAGATAATCTACAATGCACAGAATCACTACGATCTGCAAACAGGAAGATTCACATGCTCTGCAGCGGGGGCCTATTTCTTCACCTACCACATCACCGTCTACTCCAGGAACGTGAAGGTGGCTCTGGTGAAGAACGGAGTGAAGATCATCCACACCACGGATACCTACCAGAACAGCGAGGACCAGGCAGCAGGGGGCGCCGTGCTGCACCTGGAGGTGGGGGACAAGGTGTGGCTGCAGGTGGCTGGAGGAGAGCTGTACAATGGGCTCTTTGCTGATGAAGATGATGACACCACCTTCTCTGGGTTCCTGATCTTTGGGGCTTAAATTGCTCCACCATTTCCTAATGAATGCTGGTAATTGTATTTTAAGTATAGAAAATACCTTTTGTCTTTGATACTTTGAAAACATTATGCTAGTAATTTAACCATACTTTTACGTAAGGACATATTGAAATGCAGGACCTTTACACTGTAAGGATATTGCTATTTTTTAAATCAGATTATTTTGTCTGTTATACCAATTCAATACATTTTCCTGTAAATTCTTGAACCTGTAATTCTGCTGAAATGACAGTATCAGCCTGTGAAGTAAAGCAAACAAACTTGAAATGCAATGGAGGTGTCATTGTAGTCTGTAGCAAAAGTTACTACCACAGATAGTGTTTAAATACTGCTGTGTAACAATACAACATTCACTTAGTTGTCATTGCTCTGGTGTTTGGGGATTGGCATGCACAATAGAAATACCATGAATTGTTCTGGGCATGATTCAATGAGATGGTACGAGGAAGACAGTGAAAACCCCAACTGGAAGGTGCAGTCTTTTTTTATCTTCAAGAGCCGCAGAAAGTGAGGAGCAGCATTCCCCTTTTTTTCCTTCAATGAACAGCGTTCCAATGTGGGCGTGGTTTTGCGGTCACGGTGTCATATACTTAATTATGATTGGCTCACAGTCCAACGGTCACTATGTGGTCAACCAGTTAAGACCATCGTAACCCCACTAAGCCCCTCCCCCTAGAAACACTGCAACAAGTGCATTAATGATGCTCATTCAAGCCTCCAAGAAAGCCCTCCTTCAACCGCGATATTATGAGCTTTTCTTGAGCAACTTCGATAGAAAAAGTATGACTCAGTATTTATGTAGTCAATTTACATGACTACCATCAGGTTTTGCCGGTCGGGGAAAGCGAAATTAAACGCGGCAAAAGCTTGCGCAATTAAGGGGAAGTTTATCAGAGAGTTAGCTTAAGTTGCTAGCTCAATGTGTTCAAGAAGTCACAGCCGTTTGTCTCAATATGTTGCGGGGTGAGCAGTGAGCAGAGGACTGGTCGTGTGTTTTGTACCGACATGTTTTTGCGAGAGGACGAGGCAGAAAGCCTTTGGAGCTCAGAGAAACGACTTCACTATGGCTGAACAACAAAAACAGCTGCTCCGTTGATGTGAGGAAAAAGGGTCAGGAGGACAACATCAGCGACTATGAGCAGGGTGAGCAAACGTTGTCTTACCTGATTACTGCGTAGGGACTGCTTATCTAACAAACAGCCACAACTAGTGATACTATAACAGTTATAACTCCTTTAAATGCAGTGGTGTAAAGTAACTAAGTAGATTTACCATAGTACTTAATACTTAAATTCAAGTTGGTGGGAGTTATGTGTTCACTTTGTACTTCTACTCCACTACAACTCAGAGCTAAATTGTGTACTTTTACTCCACTACATGTATTGAATAACATCACTTATAGTCCAAACTTTAATAAGACTTTAGTTACACCTGGACATTCATAAGCTGCAGTATACAAAGTCATTACAACTAGCTGCACCTTTACCAGCTTTGATAACACTTTAATGATCGATAATTATAAAACATCTCAGGTATATGAGTCTGAAATGAGCCAATCTGTACTCAAGTCAATTTAGATGCAAATCCTTTTTACTTGACTAACATTTTGATTGCAGGACTTTTACTTGTAACAGAGTATTCCTACACTCTGGTATTTCTACTTTAACTTTAGGTACAATATCTGAGTTATTCTTCGACTATAATTCCTTTAAATGTTTAATAGTACTTTGCAGTTGCGGTGATTTCCCCCTTTGAGTTCTTGTTTGAAATGGGACCAGAGGGGGTTTTTGTGGTGCATTACAGCCGTGGTTGTTATAGTGATGTGGGAGATGCCAGGCTGCAGGGAGTTGGTGAAGGAGGGGTTGTGGGGGGGGGGGGGGGGGGGCACCTACTACTACAAAGAGCTTTATGGCCTAAGAAAGTTAATTAATGCAGAAATAAATAAGCAGTTTGGCCCTGAGTTCTTTATGGCTTAGAAAACTCCTCAATGTAATCCCCTTCAGCTCCTTGTTTTCAGATTCTGCTTTATCCTTAACAACTTGGCTACACTTTTAGCAGCCATTACAGTTTACTACGATCAATAATCTTCTTTGTATGGCTCCCCAGATGGACTTTTATACTAAAGGTAACCTGAGATAAGTCAGCGTGAAATACTCAATCACAGTCCTCTGATTTATAATGACTATTTTGTACAACAGTACCAAACTTCTACAGTATAATTGCACACCAGGTTACGTTCTATAATAGAGGCATCAAATATAGCTTTGTGTCTGTTGTTTGTCAACTTTAACCAGCTATTTCCGGTGCTGTGAGTCGGGCGGAAAGAACGTTTGTGCCAAGGGAATAATGTGTTCATTCATTATCAAAAAAAGTGTTTTTCCACCTGGAGCATAAACTACTTCTAATCTCACTAATTGATGGGAACTGGTTATTGAGATCATCTCAGATCCTCGTGTAATTGAAGTGGATTTGTGATCTTGAGAGTCTCTCTGCT